GGAGGCAGGTGGGGCTCAGCAGGGGGCGCTCTCCCCTGGCAGGCAGGGCTGGCCCCAGGGGGCGCTGTGCTGCAGGGGGTGGAGCCGGCTGGGGTGGTTCCAGCTCCGCGCTCTTGCAGGACGTGCCAGGCTGAGGGTGACCAGATGTTAGGAGCTTTGTCTTGTATACACAACTATCCCCCCTCCCTCCCCGCAACAAAAAAAAGGTTGTCCCAATTTTTCACACTTGCTAGCTGGTCACCCTAGCACCCCCTGTGTCATGGCAGGGACCTGGGCCGGGGCTGGAGCAACCCTTGCCCACGGAGAGCTGCCCAGCCTGGGCTCCCCACCACAGCCAGGCCCCGTTCAATCCTGGCAACAGCTAACGGCCTGGTCACCGCGTCACTAGCTGGGCTGAGCACGGGGGTCCCATGGGGCATGGCTGCCCCACTGGCAATGGGCAGCCGGGCCTGAGAGTAGCAGAGCTGGGGCTGTGGGCGGAGCCAGGATCGAGTGGGGGAGGGGAGCTGGGGCTGTGGGCGGAGCCAGGATCGAGTGGAGGAGGGGAGCTGGGGCTGTGGGCGGAGCCAGGATCGAGTGGGGGATGGGGACTGGGGCTGTGGGCGGAGCCAGGATCGAGTGGGGGAGGGGAGCTGGGATTGAGTGAGAAATGGGCACGAACTCCCCCAGCTTTCAAAGGGGCTCAGGTACCACCTAGGCAGACCCCCCCCCCAGTTTGCCCCAGGGACCCCTGTGGGGTGATGAGCTCATTCAGCCCTCCCCTCGCTGCGATGTTTGTGCAGCAGGTGCCTGTCCCCTCAGAATGAGGCTGAGACCCCCCCCAAACTCATCTCACCCCTGGATAAAAAGGCCCTGAAGGACCCCGGTCCCTGGCCAGCTGGGTTCAAACCAGGCTCTATAACAGAAAGGCCCCAGGTCCCATTCCCGACCCCCCTGAGCCAGCCAGTCCCCCACGCTGGGGCTGGATAGGGAACCAGCGCCCCACAAGGGGAAAGGCCCGGGTCCCATTCCCGACCCCCCTGAGCCAGCCAGTCCCCCACGCTGGGGCTGGATGGGAGCCAGCGCCCCACAAGGGGAAAGGCCCCATGTCTCAGCAGAGGGGTCTCCGTCTGCCCCCTCCCCCAGAGCCCCCAGCATTCACCCACTACCACGTTGCCACCCTCCCAATCTCTCCTCTTGCCCTGCTGAGGAAATGCCCATGGGGGGGGTCATGCCACCCGCCTCCCCACAGCCTCTGCTCACCAGGCTGGCAGCACCGATCCATCTCCAGTCAGGGCCGTGTTTTCTAACAGAGCAGGTGCTTGCTGGAAACCAGCAGCTGTGGGGGGGGGGGGATGACTGACTGAACCAAGACACCCCTCCATGTTCTGCCCCCCCCAATTCCCTCCCCACCCTGCTGGGGCTTTCAGAAAGGGAACCCCTGCAGCTGACCCAGGCTGGCTCCAATGGGCCCAGCCCCAGCCACCCAGGTGGCCTAGATCTGCCCCCTCCCTCCACTTTTCAGCTAGTGTCCTATGCCCCCGGCCCTAGATCCAACCCCCACCCCAGAGCTCAGCAACGCCTCTGCAAGGAACCAGCCAGGGAACCCCCTCGTGCCCCCCCCCATGGATGGGGCCATAGGACAAGGCGCATTGGCCTGCCTGGGTGAAGGGGGGTTAGTGCAGCTGCCACAGAGCAGCTGGGGGGTTGAAGATGGGGGAGCAGGGGGGGGGGACACTCAGATCCAATTTCTCCCGACAAGAGGCAGCAGCTGGTGGCTGCTAATGCTCTGTGGTAATTAGCCAAGGGAGGGCGCCTGGTTGCCCCTGCCTCACCTGTCAGGCACCCAGAGAGGGGGCGCTGGGGAGTGGGGGGCAGGTCGCTCTTTGCACTCAGAGCCGCTTGGGGGGAGAGTTAAGCAGGGTCAGGCCAGAGCAGCCCCTGGAGGGGCGTCGCCTTGGCATCAAGAACAGCACCAGAGCTGCTGGGGAACCGGGCGGGTGACTTGCCCTTGGCATCCCTCCCCCAGCCAAGGATAGAACCCAGGAGTCCGGGTTCCCAGCCCCACCCCCACCTGCCTCCGTTTCACGCTCAGGGCTAAACCTCAGCAGCAGGGGGTTTCCTAGCCTGCCCCATAAGTGCCTGTGCTGGGGGAGCAGGGTGGGCAAGTCACAGGGAGCCCACAGGGGGGGGGGTCACTGTCACCCCCCCAGATCTTGCCCAAACTCAATCTTACTCCCCCCACAACCCAACATGGTGGACATGGGGCCAGGCTGGGCCCCCCTGTGCTCCCCCACCCCACGGCTGGGCAGGGGAGGGGGTGCCCACTCTGGGCACTGGCACCACCGAACAGCTCTGGTCCTGCATTATTCCCAGGGCTTGGCTGGATGGCGTATTATTGAGCAGGGCTGGCCGCGAGCAGGTTTCGGGGGGTGGGGGGGGTCCCCTCGCAATAAACCAGAGAGCAGGGTCGGCCTCACACTCACGGGGGCCTACGGCTGAAGACGACGCCCGAGGAACTTAGCTTTGCGGGGTCCCCTGTGGCGTGGGGCCCGGGGCAGTTGCCTGCTTGCTACCCCCTAACTCCAACCCTGGCTTTTAATCTCCTGGCGCAGGCGGGCTGGGGAGATTTTATAACCTGTTGGGAGGGCCCCATAACCCCTGTCCTACAACACTCTGACGCCAGCCCCTGCCCCATAGAGCAACTGACCCCCTGTAATGTCAGACAGCAGCCAGTGGACCCCAGGAGCCGGGCACCGCCCCCCAGCCACCTTCCCACCCCTGCATACCAGGGGCAGGGGTCCCTGGCTGGACACCTGAACGCCACATTCAGAGCCTGGCAGGGCACGGGGGGCCATCGCCACCTGCTGGAGAGCTGCAAAGGGCACGGTGCAGCCCTTGAACGGGCACAGTGCAGCCAGGAGCAGATGGAAATGGGACAGAACCCAGGAGTCCTGACCCTTGGTGCCCCCAGCTCCAATCACTAACCCCTCCTCCCTTCCCAGAGCCAGGGATAGAACCCCAGAGTCCTGGCCCCTGGTCCCACCCCCAGCTCTGAGAATAAAACCCAGGAGTCCTGGCCCCTGGCTCCCTCTAACCACTAGACCTGTTCCTTGGGCCTACAAATCCACCCGAATTGTGAGCTCACCTGCACCAAGGGAGGGGAAGTTCCTGCACTGTCCTGCCACTAGCCGGTGACAGGGAAAGGTGCCCAAGGGGGCCAGTCCAAACCCAAAGGTCGCCTGGGCTGCGCTGAACAATAGTGCAGAAGCGGAGGCCAGTGAGCCAAGACTGGCGTACTGGCAACTAGGCCGAACTGGGGGACAAAATCCAGAGGGGCTGGGCCGTTCCGCCCCCCGTGGGCCCGTAGAGAGCTGGGGAGACAAACGGGCGAGCGTGAGCGGGTACTTTACAAGCCGGCTGCACGCCAGGCCCCAGACCGCCAGGGCTCCGAGCGGCTAATCAGCCCACGTGCTAGGCCCATGGGCACAGCCTGCCTGTAGAATATCACTGCCCTCGCTAGGGGCTTCAGGGCGGAGAGGAGAAACTGAGGCAGAACGGGACTGTCTCTTAGCTGGGAGCCTGGGGCAGAGATTTCCAAGGTAGCAGGGACAGCTGCGCCAGGGCCACACCCCGGGGAGGAGGAGAGGGAGGTTTATCTGAGCCAGGGCCAGGCTCCTCCCCCCAGGGAAGCAGCCACCCTGCTGCTGGCAACCTGGGAGCAGCGGGAGTGCCATGTGAAGCACCGGGAACCCAGTGACCTGCCCAGGCCAGCTCCCTGCTCTGAGCGCCTGGGAGCACTGGGCCGGGCTTTGACGGGTTTGTTCACCCCCACGCCAGCTGGACACGTCTTCGCTTTCCAGGAAAGAGGAGATGCTGGAGAACAAGCTGGAGACCCGACCCCCAGCAGCGAGGTCTGGGCCCAGCCCGCACAGGAGGGCACGTGCCCCACAAACTCGGAGGAACAGCCAGTGCAGGTATTCATGCCCTCGCCTGCAGATAACACTGCGGGTCCCATGCCAAACAGCCTCGGGCACGTGGCTGGTTGGTATGAGCGCAGGGCAGCACGCAGCGGTCCCCGTCCCCCTCCAAGGACACCGCCCGCTGGGGAGGAAGATGCCAGGAGGCGGGCAGATAAAAGTAGTGTCGGTTTAATGGTCTGGGCGTTTTGTTCACCACCATCGCGGTGTGGCTGCCAAGCCCCCCCCCCCTCCGACCCCTAGGATGGAGGAAGGACCCACATCTGCTGCATTTCGCTCTCCCAGGCCGCGCCCTCTTCTGCAGATGGGCACGGGCACGTCCCCGCTCTGTTCGCTCGCCTCCGGAGCCCCCAGGGCCTCGACATTAAAAGCAAGCTAAAAAAAATCTCACCCTGCCGCGCCCTGGCAGAATCAGGGGGGGCTGCCTGCTGTGGAGGCCACGACGTATCACACACACACTCACACGCATGCTGCCGGCTCCGGGCTCAGCACCCCCTCTCCTGGCTGGGGAAGACACGTGCCACCCCAGGGCACTGTGATCTCACCCCTCGAGGTGGGAGCCGGCACCGCCAACGCTGCCATTGTCCGGGGTGGGGGAAGGGAGGCGGCAGAGGGTCCCCCGGCGGGGAAATAAATAAAGCTGTCCGAGGCTCCGGAAGGAGGCCCCAGCCGGGATCACGTGGCCTTGTGATCCGGGTGGCTCTTTAGCTTGTGGAATTTGACGCTGTCCATCTTTTCGAAGCGTTTGCCGCAGTGCTCACAGGTGAAGTTGTACTGAACTTCCGAGGTGTGCTTCTTCATGTGCCAGTTGAGAGACGCTCTCTGACGGCACTGGTACCCACAGATCTCGCACCTGGGGGGGCCAGACAGCGTCACGCAGGCTGCACCCCTCGGGCCCGTCCCAGGGCCTGACTGTGGCACACCCCTAGCGAGCTGAGGGCTCTCTCTGCAGGAGTGCGCTCCCTACCTCTGCTGAGCTAAATACACCCCACCCCACTGCCCGTACTTTCAGCTGGACGTGGCATTTTTCACTTCCTGGTCTCACTGTCAGGCAGCATTACTCGGTGCTGTTAACAGCCCCGTGCCACACCCCAGAGGTGTCTGCATCTCAGCACCAGGCGAGGGATCCTTATATAAACAGCTGCCACACCCCGCCCCAGAGGCAGCTGCATTTCAGTGGCGAGAAGGGCAATCTCCCCACCACCTTTGAAAAGCGCATTCGGATCAGTTGGGGCAAAGCAACCTCATCTCAAGCAGTGTCACTAATAACAGGCCCAGGCACCACAGGGGCAGATCCACACACCCCACCCCACTCGCCCTGGCTCGGACTCCTGCTGATGCGCTCCACCCCAGATGTGGTGGCACACAGAGGTGCTCCGCTCCAGGGGCTCGAATGAGCCTGGGTCAGGTTCCTAAATGGGTCACCCCTGAGCCCCCCAACTCCCCCGCACGTACTGGAGGGGCGTCTCTCCCGTGTGTGTCCGGCGATGCACCTCCAGGTGATTCTTCCGCTTGAAAGATTTCCCACAGGTTTCACAGGTAAATTCACGGACGCCTGCGGGGCACAAAGAACGGGGGGGGGGGTATCCCCGATTCACAGTCAAGGGACCTCAGTAGGAGAATCCAGAGTCCCCCTCTGCCCACCCCCAGCCTGACGCATACAGCAAGCAGACCCTTAGCCTGCCCAAAGGGGTGACGCCTACCCAGCTGGGGCATCACATAGGGCTTTTGTCTCCCGCATAAGATGTCTGAGACTGTCAATGGTGCCAGCTAAAAAAGTGACGTCCCTTAGCTCAGGCAGGAGAGAGCCCTGCTTTTAAACCGGGATCAATCCCAGGGGACAACCCAGCCAGGGGGTCAAGGGGGTGTCCTGAGGATTCCTGCATTAGCAGATCTCTTCTACAGAAAGATTTCCAGCAAACGCTTCTGTTTGTTCTGGATTTTTGACTCTCTCTCCACCCCCCATAATGTAAGTGTTGAAAGTGAGACAGCTGATCCCGGGGGGAATCCGAACCAGACCCAGTTCCATTCCCGGGTGCTCTGGTGCCATGCAGGGAGCGGGATGGGTCCGGGGGGAAGCGAAGGCTACGCAGAGGCAGCTGAGTGCCCAAGAACCAGGCGCCATGTGGCGAAGGCGGAGCGGCAGCTGCCGTCGCATGACCGGACGGCCCCGGCCACACGTGCTGGGGGAGCCAGCGTCTCACCAGAACAGCGCAGTGCAGGACAAAGGCCAGCAGGCCACGGGGAAGAGAGCCCAGGGGATGCACCTGAGTGAATGATCATGTGTCTGCGGAGGTGGTTGGACAGGTAGAACTTCTTGCCACAGCCCGGGTGGGGACAGACTTTTGTTTTCCCTTTCCGGTGGACGAGGTTGACGTGATTCTGGAGAGACAAGGAGGGGCGGGGACAGAGGGCTAGACCACATTCCCACCACACACAGTCACAGCAGAGGCTGCTACAACCCCCCCAGTAACGGGCAGGAATTCCCACATCAGACCTTGTCCCTCTCCCTCCCTCCCAACACGGCACCTCGGCCACCACAGCTGGGGCTACCCCACTCTCCAAACTCAACCTCGACAAACTCCCTCACCCCACAATCTACGCCCAGAGATTCCCTCCCCCCAAGATGACACCCCGTTGATACAGCGTTGGAACCAACCTCTCCCCAAAGCCAGCGCAGGGGTAGCTTACGGATTCACTAGGGAGTAGCAAGATGGGGCGCCAAGGCTGTGACGTTAAATGATTTCCTAATTGTCCAGACATCCAAGACTAGATCAAAACCTTGGTTAGACACTGAACCGGGACTAATCTGGCCCTCATTCCCTGAGCTATTCTTCCCGTTGTGCAGGTGGGGAAACTGAGGCAAAGAATGGCTAAATGACTTGCCCCAGGTCCCCCAGACAGTCTGTGGCAAAGCAGGGAATTAAACCTGGCTCTCCCTCGTCACTGAGTCACGCTCCGTCGCTGTCCCTTCTCTCAAGTGCCAAGCAGGCTCAACGGTCGGGTTTTGTGAGAAAACGCAATAGAAACATCTCCAGGGCGCTGTCACGTTCCCAACGCAGCCTGTAAGCGCCACCCCCTCGACGGTGGTGGAAACCTGCCACGCCAGGCAGGCCCTAGCGACCCATCAACCAGGACGTGAAACTCACCAGCACCAAAGGGAAAGCAACCGCCCAGCATCACTGCTCAAACTCCCGCTGCAGAGAATCACCAGCCGGCCCAAGCATTTCCCCGTCTCCGGGGGGGAGGCCAGAACGAGGCTCTCAGCCCCTTGGAGCACCCTTCACACCCCACGCCAGGGACAGGGCTGCGGGAAACTGACACGCACAAATCGTACCTGAAAGCTACTAAGTGCTACGTAGACCTGGCTGCATCCTTCATAAGGGCAGTGGAACATTTCCAGCATGCCGTCGGCATCCATCACGCGGCCCCGTCGGCTTCGCCGCCTCCTGCGCGGGGAAAGGAGGGGTCAGCCGCAGGCAGGGGAAGGCAACGTGCTGCCCGCCTGGCTGGGGAGAGACAGCTGCTGTGGTGGAAGCAGCGGAAGGCTCCCAAGGCAGAGGCCTGGGGAGGGAGGGGACGCAGACAGCCCCAGGTTTACCCGTCTGGAGTGAAGCCGAGCTGCCTCAGGGTTTGAGCAACAAATGCAACGCACGGAAAAGGGAAGAAAACGCTATGCGGCTCGCTGACACAGCCGGCCAGATCTCTGGCCGAGTGGGGAAACCGAGGCACGGGCAGGGTCAGAGACCTTGCCAAGCCAGCTAAGCGCGTCGCCGCGACACTCACTTCTCCGGTTCCTTCGGAATCTCGTAGATGATGGCCGACATGTCACTGCCGTCCATCTCCTCGGGCTCCGGCTCCGTGTTCTCTTGGGCCGGCTCCAGCTCTTCCGGCATCTCCATTTCCGGGGGGGGCTGCAGCTCCTCCTTTTTGAGCCCATAAAGGTCGTCTTTTTCTGCCACCACAAAACAGGTGTCAGAAGGGCCGCGCGGCGAGAATCTGGGGACGCTTTTCAAACATGAAGCCGTTAACACGCAGGCCCCATCCCAAAGGCAGGCAAGAGCCACCGGCCACTGAAACGCAGCTAGGTCTGCTGCAGAGCACAGCAGCTGTTTAACACCGCACACGGGGTCAGGGCAAGAAGGGGAGAGTCCTGTAGCCCGCTGAACCTACGGATGGCGGAGGCGAAATGCAGTTACATCAGGGTTAACACTTAACGGGAGGTCAAGTGACCTGGGATTTTTAATGGGGCACATGAGTGGGCACCACACTGGGACATCAGATCCAGGGGTCAACGCTCCCTACGGAGCCCCTCCCTGGCACCACGCCGGGACATCAGATCCAGGAGTCAGCGCCCCCTATGGATCCCCCCCACCCTGGCACCACACTGGGACATCAGATCCAGGGGTCAGCGCCCCCTATGGATCCCCCCACCCGTCACCACGCTGGGACATCAGATCCAGGGGTCAGCGCCCCCTATGGACTCCCCCCCACCCCGTCACCACGCTGGGACATCAGATCCAGGAGTCAGCGCCCCTACAGACCCCCTCCCTGGCACCACGCCGGGACATCAGATCCAAAGAACAGCGCCCCCTACAGACCCCCTCCCTGGCACCACGCCGGGACATCAGATCCAAAGGACAGCGCCCCCTACGGACCCCTCTCTGGCACCACGCTGGGACATCAGGTCCAGGGGTCAGCGCCCCCTACGGACCCCCTCCCTAGCACCACGCTGGGACATCAGGTCCAGGGGTCAGTGCTCCCTACGGAGCCCCTCATCCGTCACCGGGGTCACTAATGCAGGGAGAACGCCCCCTACGGAGTCACCCCCAAGCACTACATTGGGGGACTGGAGTCAGCACTAACCCAGAGGAGAGCGCATCCCTTACTGAGCGCCCCAGCTCACTCCCAGCAGCACAGCGCCCCCTAGTGCCGTGCTGTGACCCTGGGAGAAGGCCCCATGGAACTCACGGCAGCATTTTTCACGGCACTCTCGGATCCCTTTGGAGGTCTCCCCTCCCAGTACCGACCAAGCTCCCCTGGCCTAGGTGGGGGCAGGGGGGGCTGGTCACATCTACCTTTTTTGGTTTCAATGCACTCCCCGCTCTCCACCAGTTCCCCACTGTTGGGCTGCACGTTCTCCGGCTCCGTCTGGGTGTAGGCGGCGACGCCCTCGATCACGGCGCAGGGCATCTCCTCGCCCCCACTGCTGGTGACGTTGAGCTGAATGCCCTCCGCCGTCAGGGCGTCGTAGCCGGGCCCGGCGATGATGATCACCTGGGAGCCCTGCATCATGCCCTGCACGGGGCAGCTGGCCACCACCTCCCCGAGAGTCTCCTGCGTCACGTTCTCAAAGAGAGTCCCGTGGCCCGAGCCCACCTGAACGGGCATGGGGACGCACACCACGGTCTCCATGCTCTCCGGGCCGTTGAGAGGCGGGTTGTGGCACATGGCGGCGCCCTGCTCGGCCGTCAGGTTCTCGATGTGGTGCTCGAACGGGATGTGGATGCCGTCCTGCGTGATGAGGCCGCTGCTGCTCCCGCCTTCCGCGGCCGACGGGGGCGGACGCTGCTGGGCCTTGGCCTGACGGTTCTCGGGCTGCTCCTCCGACCCCGAGCTGGAGCTCTCCTCGGAGGAGTCCGAGCTTCCGGCCCCCACGCCGTTGCCAGCTGCAGTGGGGAGAGCGATCAGCAGGCGTGGATTAGAGCCACGGCAGGACCCTCCCCTGGCTGCTCCTACAGCCTAGCGTTACCCTGCCCAACCTTCAGGGCTGGGGGGGCGCTCATGGCCTGCTGAGGTGCCCATCTCTGAGCACCGTAACGATCACCGCCCATCCAGCTGGATCTCACTTAGCCATACTAATTGAACATCTGCCTCACAGGCCTAGGGATCACTCCCCTTACGCTGAAATGCGGCCACCTCTGGGGTGGGATGCACTGCAACGCCATACAACGGGCTACAGTAAGCGCCCCCCTGCCCACCGGCTGCCTTGGGAGACTAGGATCCCGGCCGCTCCCCTCCCGCTCACCATCGTCACTCTCGTTCTCGGAGTCGCTGAGCGGCTTCAGCGGGGAGTGCAGGTCCTGGAAGTAGCGGTGCCCGGCCTCACACTGCCACACAGCCGTGGTGTACAGCCCGAAGGTGGGGTCCAGCTCCGACAGGTGTGGCTCGTAGGGGCAGCGGTTCTTGTGGTCCTCGTACCAGATCACCATGTTCTTCAGGCAGTTGACGTTCCGCCTCCTTCCTTGGGGGGAGGAGAGAGGCACGTGAGCCGACCACAGGGAACCAAAGGGGCGTGCCCTTTGCTAGCGAAAGACAGGGGGGAGCACCCCATTGGGTTAAACCATTAGCCAGAAGAGTACTCTGTCAAGTGATCAACCGTTTGTGAGCAATGGGACAGTCTGTGTGTGTACTACCCCTGCTAACGACCCTGGCACCCTAAGTTCCAGGGACCCCCGGCTGGTACAGCCCAGGTTGTAGTGGGGGAGTTCCGGCCATCCACCACCCCTCAGCCCTGCCTTTGGGTGCTGACATGACCCAAGGAGGGCGAACTCTGGAACTGGGAGGAGAGGAATCTGCTTCTAGACTGACTCTCACTCGCTGTCTGTTCCACGGACACGCTGGGACAGGCAGACTGCGGGACTCGGGCACATTTCAGATGGCTTTCTGTACAGATGCACCGATGGAGCCAGGGGCAGCAACGCGGCCTCCAGGTGAAGCCTGTTTAGTGCACAAACCAGGCTCTGGGCAGACACGACCAAATCATACCAAGGTTATGGGCCTCATGGGTAGGGGGGAAAGCAGTAGACATGACAGATCCTGATTTTGCAGAGGCTTTTGACACAGTCCCAACTGACAATTGCATAAGCACTCTAGGGAAATGTGGTCTAGATGAAATCACTAGAAGGTGGGTGTACAACTGGTTCAAAGACCACCCTCAATGATGAGTTATCAATGGCTGGCTGTCAAACTGGGAGGGCGTGTCTAGGGGGTCCCGCAAAGGTCAGTCCTGGGTCTGATTCTATTCAATATTTTCATTAATGATTTGGATAATGGAGGGGAGAGTTTGCTTAGAACATCTGCAAAGGACACCAAGCTGGGAGGGGTTGCAAACACTTTGGAATACAGGCTTCGAAACCGTAACATTCCGGAGACAAGTGGAAAGTAGCACATTTCGGAAGGAACTATGAAAAGCACAACTACAACCCGGGACCGACTGGCTTGGCAGCAGTACCATGGAGAAGGCGCTGGTGTTATAGTGGATCTCACATCGAACACAAGTCAACGACGTGATGCAGTTGCAAAAGCAGCTAATATCATTGTATTAGCAGGAGCGTCACATGTAAGACACAGGAGGTCACTGTCCCGCTCGACACAGCGCTGGTGAGGCCTCAGCTGGAGTCTTGTGTCTAATTCTGGGCGCTGAACTTTAGGAAGGATGTGGACAAACTGGCGACTCCAGAGAGTCACAAAAACAAGCAAAGATTTCAACGACCTGACCTATGGGGAAAGGTTAAAAACGTGGCCATGTTTAGTCCTGAGAAAAGTCAACCGAGGGGGACCTGAAGTCTTCAAATAGGTGAAGGGCTGTTACAAAGAAGACAGGGATCAATTGTTCTCCATGGCCACTGAAGGCAGGACAGGAAGTACTGGGCTTCATCTGCAGCGAGGGAGATTTAGGTTAGATATTAGGAAAAACTTTTTAACTAACTCTAAGGGGAGTTAAGCTCTGGACCAGGTGTCCAAGGGAGGCTGCGGGATCCCCGACACTGGAGGTTTTAGGTTGGACAAACCCCGGTCAGGGATGGCTGAAGTTTATTTGCTCCTGCCTCAGCACAGGGCGCTGGACCTGAGGAGCTCTCGAGGTCCCTTCCAGCCCCACATTTCTGTGATTCTATGGCACTGCCAAGACAGTGGCTGCTGGCCCGGCACGTTACACCTGAAGTAGGACCTGTCCCTGCTGGGTCTCCCAGCCCCCCAGAGAAAGGACAATTCTTTCCCCAGCTGGTCTCTGCGTGTGAGCTCAGAACAATGGAGCAGTGAAGTGCCATGACCGCACCCCTCCTACTGTCACAAGCCTTCTCTGTCATTCCTATAGAGCCTCTTTGACCGTTTGTAACATTACCAGGAGAGGGGCCTCTACTGCCGCATTGTAACGCTGCCTCCTTCCAGGGCACGGAGAGCTCACACCAGAGCTGCACCCTAACCGCAAAGGTCTTCGGATGCTGGGACCAAGCCGGAACAGCCATGAACACTGAGCAGGTTGGCTCCCTGCTTTGCTAACACCTGTAATACCCTCCTCCTCCACACAGGCAGAGGGAGGTCTGAGGAGTCCTACATCTCCATCCTGCTTTGCCAGCTCTGGCCCTGGGTGTCACCGGCCCACCATTTCCGCTGGCTGCGCTATGAACTTTGGCAGCCCACAACCTACATTTCTATAGCCATTTCCCCACAATGGGAATGCAGCCACCTCTGGGGAGAGCACAGTGGGGTGGGAAAATGATGACTAAGGCAGTGGGGTAAACCCCCTTGGCAATGTCAGGGGACACTGAACGTCTGTCACAGGCCTGGTCTACGCTGGGGGGAATCTAAGATACACAACTTAAGCTACGAGAATAGCGTAGCTGAAGTCAACGTATCTTAGATCGACTTACTTCACGTCCTCGCGGCGCGGGATTGACTGCCGCCGTTCCCCCGTCGACTCCGCTTCCGCCTCTCGCCCTGGTGGAGTTCCGGAGTCGACGGGGAGAGTGTTCGGGGATCGATGTATTGCATCTAGACGAGACGTGATACATCGATCCCCAATAGATCGATCACTACCCGCCAATTCGGCGGGTAGTGTAGACATACCCTAAGGTATGTATACACCCCTGTAACCGTGGTATCTGAGCATCTCCGGTCATTAATGGGTTTAGCTTTGCTAGCCACCTGGGTCAGGGCAGGTCTATACAGATGACAAACTGAGGGGCACAGAGGCAAAGTGACTTGCCCAAGGTCACCCAGGGAGCTGGGGACATTGCTGGGAACGGAACCCAGGGCTTGCAGGTCCAAGGCTCATGCTCTAACCAGTAGCCCACCCTCACCCCCAGGAGCAGGTTTCAGATCTGAAGCTCAGACCACAGAAAACTGCACAGCTCTCGATCTCCCTCCCTCAGAGACGGGCCAAGCGGGGCTCAGTGACTTCCAGCCCGCCACCGAGCCTGCTCAGCCAACCTTCCAGCACGAACAGCTTTAGATCTATGGTCCCTAGCCGGATCCCTCCAGAACAGTCCCGGGGCAGCACCAGCTCTCCGGGCCCGGACTGCAGTTTTGGGTTGTAGACGTGAAAACTGCACTGCGCTCTATGGACGCCTTCAATGGGCACGTAGCTTGTAGCTCCCTCACTCAACGTCACGCCAGTTATTTCTGCACTAGTTGTCCCCCCCCGTAAAGACAAGAGTAAAACACCAGCCTTTACCACCTGTCAGCATCAGGGGTCAGACCTCGAAAAATCAGCCTGTGGCCCACACTACTGCAGCAAAGCGCTGCGTACGTTTGCAAAGAGGAGATCCTACGTTCGTGTAGCTACGAGACAGGCTAGCTGGGTGAGCAATTCTTACGCATCAGGGCAGATGGGGTCACGCAGATTATTATTTATTAGGTATGTTACGGTAGCGTCTAGGAGCCCTAGTCACGGAACCCATTTGTGCTAGGCACAGAACGTTATTGTTTAGGTGTATTACGGCAGCCCCGACGAGCCCTAATCACAGACCAGGACCCCATTATGGTGGGTGCTGTATGTAATTTATTAGGTATATTACAGTAGCACCAAGTTGCTGTATGGCCCAGGACTGCATTTTGCTAGGTGCGGTACATTATGTATTAGGTGTATTATGGCAGTGCCCCCACCACATTGTGCCGGCGCCTGTACGTTATGTATTAGGTGTATTACGGTAGCAGTAGGGTTCCCTAGTCATGGAGCAGGACCCCACTGTGTAAAGTGCTGTACGTTATTAGGTGTATTACGGTAGCAGTAGGGTTCCCCAGTCATGGAGAAGGACCCCATTGTGTTAGGTGCTGTACAAACACAGACAAAGGCCACCTGGCGGGGGACTGGACAGATGGCTGTGCTAGCATAGAGAATTGTAAGAACGGGTTTCTGGGTGCAGACACGGATCTTTGACGCATTCTTTGTGCGCCCACATTCAGACATTGTCACAAGCTGGATCCCCCCAGGACAATTCACTTACTTTTCTTTCGTTTTGGCTTTTTAGGGATTTGCTCCCATGGTTTCCTGCAACAGAAAAAGAGAGAGCACTGATTTAACATCAGAGTCTATGCATCTGCTACAGCCCCCAATGCGGTCGTATCTGGACATCTCAACCATTTAGCTTAAGAGGCAGGGCTGTGCTATTATCCCCCCCCCCTCCCTTTTACAGACGGGGAAACTGAGGCACAGATTCAGTGACTTGCCCCGGGTCATGGTACCTGCACCTTATGTGACGCAGATCTCAAGAGAAGAAATCCCAGCAGGGTTTACTGCCAAGGTTTATAACAGGAGCAGGGCTACTTATTTATTGTTTTTTAAGACCACAAAGAGCTCTGTTCTATTAGAACACACAGGGAGCAGCATCCATCCCTTACATCATCAAACCTATATCGGTTATTCCTCTGTCTGAAAACCAGCCCCCACATTCATGCCCTTTTGCAAAAGAAATAACGTAAAGGGCTTAGATCAGTGACTGGTGAGCGATCTAAACCCTTTGCTCCCAAATTCTCACAGCCATGGATTGCTGATCTAAACGTGACAGACCACGAAATCCAGCTGACTAGATGCTACCCGAAGGACGATGCCCTTGATGCCCTTAATACGATGAGGCCATGAAGAACACTTTAGTCTGTTTACTTCCAGCGTATAATTAACCTGGGAAATTCCCCGTGCAGGCAGGGCCGGCTCTGGCTTTTTTGCCGCCCTAGGCCAAAAAGCCACCCGCCGCACCCCTCCCCCAGCGCAGCAGGGGAGGGTGCCGAGCCCGGCCGCAGGCCCGCAATCCCCGACCGGCTGGAGCGCCGGGGGGAGGGTGGCAAGCCCGGCCGGGGCTCTCCACTCTCCCCAACCAGCCAGAGCTCCGGGGGGAGGGCGGCAAGCCCGGCCGGGGCTCTCCGCTCTCCCCGACCAGCCAGAGCGCCGGGGGGAGGGCAGCGAGCCTGGCCGGGGCCTCGCCGTGCCGCCCCCCCTCCAGGCGCCACCCCAAGCACATGCTTGGTGGGCTGGTGCCTGGAGCCGGCCCTGCGTGCACGTTATTATATAAATAATTTAAGGCCAGATTATCTCATCTGATCTCTTGTATATCACAAGCCACGACAGACACCCCTAAGCTGAGCCCCGTGACTTTGGTTAGACTAAAGCATTTTAGTCCTCAGGAGACTAAACTGTGCCATGGGCAGAGAACAGGGGAGACCGAGGTGCCACCGATGCCCCTGTGATGGCAGGGAATTGTTCAGATCAGACGCGCCCAGATGATACCAACAGGCGAGCCACACCCCATGCTGCAGAGGAAGGTGAAAATCCCCAGAGTCCGTTATACTCGCTGAGGCCATGAACCTGCAGCGAAATGCATGAAGGTGGATCTCTGCACCTTCACAGACCCACAATGACTGATGCAGCACCACGAGAACTCAGATAATCTGCCCACGTCTCTCCCGTCGCAGGATCAGCACCTAGGATACAATATCACAAGGGAAATACACTAGTTCTCGTGTAGGAGCTGGGGTCAGAGAGTAATTTCCCTGCAAGGTATAGTACTGCCTGATGAGATCTCTTCCCCTGAAGCATTCAGCACATCGCTGGCAGGGCACACTGAGTTAGAAGGACCAGTGCTCTGATCTGGGATGCAGGCTGTGACGCTAGTGCGATTTAACAATCACCAGGGGAGCGGCAGAGAGCGTAAGCAGTTCTGCTTTAAGATAGTTCTCATCTTTGCAGACCCACAGCAGCTCATCACTGGAATTCAGTCACGACAAAAGCAGAATGAGGTGTGTATCTTAGGCGTGTCTACGCTAGAGAAGGTTTGCCGATACGGCTGTATAGGCAAAACCTCCTAGCACCAAGCAGTTTATCCCGGCGAAAGAGCATTGCCTGATCGGGCCAGTACCCAGAGCAAAATGAGCTGTACCAACACTATGGTTTTGCTGGTATAACTGCATCTATGCTACGGCTTTGGCTGGTATAAAAATGTTGGTGAAAATCACCCCCCAAAATGACATAACTGTATAGGCAAGATTCTTCACATTTAACACCTTTCTAGAGCCCTTTCAATCCAAGGGTCACAAAGTGCTTCACCAAATCTCAGATGTCCAACTCCCGCACCACCTGTGTGTGATATTATCCCCTACATACAGGGGGGAGGAAACTGAGGCGCAGAGGTGTGCGGTGACTTGACCACGGTGTTCGCATACCATGGTGATGAGGGTGGTGTAAAAATGTGACTAGAGCAGGTCATGGGGGAGTCTCTGAGAAATCTGGGGGCAAAACCCAGGAGTTTTGACACCATATCACTTGCTCTAACCACTAGTTCATATAAGCAGACATTTTGCTGTCAAATGAGAAGGTGGAGGCCTGGATCTCATCCCATCCTCTCAGTCTACTGGCTCCATCTCAACTGGTGATGGAGATGGGAACAGATTGGGGGTGGGGAAGAGGGAATGTGTCTATCCATGCAGGGGCAAGATATCCTCTCCCATGTAGAGAGGCTGGAGTTTGATACCCCATCTAGCCGCTCACTACCCCGTCAAAGCACATTGTAGGAGCGTTCTGTCCCCTAGAGATGTTATGGGGGCAATGGGGTTAACACCCCGTGTGAGGGGTGCTGGTCTCCCCCAGGCTTCCCTCTTCAGCCCCTGCTCCAGATCCAGCAGGAAGAAGATATAAGGGGATGGGGGTAGGGAAAAAGGGGTCCAGATCCCACAACTCCCTCGTCCATCCCCTTACTTGCTGTCCCTGCCCCAACAGGAAGGGGGCATATGATGATGCAGTCAGGGAATGAGTAGTACCAGCCAAGTGAAGTGGTCCTGGCTCTCAGTCTAGGAAGGAAATGGTATATGGGATTGGGGGGTATGGGATGGGGGGGGGTCCCAGCTCACTCAGGGGTCTGATCTCCCACCTCCCCCAGCTCTCACCTGTGGCACCCCGCTTGCTGCCCATGCTCCAGCAAGATGGTGGGGGGGCGAGTACAGGGATGGGGATAGAAGAGGAGGAATCACTGAGGGGCCTGGCCCAGCATATATGGGGAACAGGGGGGAAATCTGGCTCAGTAGGGGCCGGCTCTCACCTGCAGCACCCTATGCACTATCCCTGCTCCAGACAGAAGGGTGTGTACAAGGAGAGGTGGTCCAGGGCAGAGGGTTGGGGGGGGGCGGCTCTCACCCGCGGCGCCCCACATGCTGCGCCCGCTCCAGCCCCAGCAGATAGGAGGTGTACTGGGGAGGGGGGCACAGGCCACTGGGGCGGGGAGGGGGCCTGGGGGCCCAGCTCTCACCCGCGGCGCCCCGCGCGCTGCCCCTGCTCCAGCCCCAGCCAGTAGGGGATGTACGGGGAAGGGGGGCCCAGCCCGGCAGGGGCTGGGGATCAGGGGACGAGTTTGGGGGCCCGGGGAGGGGGGGTTGGGGACCCGGCTCTCACCCGCACGCTGCCCCCGCTCCAGCCCCAGCAGATAGGGGGTGTACTGGGAAGGGGGGCTCAGCCCAGTGGGGGTTGGGGGCCCGGCTCTCA